CCCACCAGCCTCAGTGTATGTGGCCAGTGCCCTAGCTGCTGAGCTACAGGCGCTGAGCCCATAATGATGTTTTCATATGTATGTGGGTTTATTTCTGGAGTCTCTGTTCTGTCCCACTGGTCTGTTTACCCCTGAGTCGTAATAATAACTTTCTTATTATTGGAGCTTTATAAAGTCTTGATGTCCAGTAGAATGAGTCCCTCTGCTTTGTTCATCAGAATTATCTTGGCTGCTGTTGATCCTACTTCCCTTTTCAGCCTCGCAGCCTCTTACCCTCTCCACAGTCTATACCCCCGTTTGCACAGGCTCCTTCCTTTGCGTGGAATACATTCTTTCCTCCTCTTCATTGGTCCCTCCCACTCATCCTTTTGGGCTCAGCAGGGATTGTCCATTCTTTTGGGAAGACTTCCCTGGGAACCTTTCTCTGGGCCCCACTCCCCCCATTTTGGCACTTATCACACACTGCCTTTTGCTTACCTGTTCTTTTGACTGGCTACCTAATTTGTGAGGCTCTTTGTTAAAAAATGGTTAAGAATTTCAAAGCAGAGACATCAAACATTAAACTAAGCACCTTCTAAGAACAGGCAGTGTGTGACTTGCACAGGTCAGATGCCCTTGAATCTGGTCCTCCCTCTTATTTGTCTCCCGTGCTAGACTGTAAGCTCAAACAGTATTTCCACCGCCTTTGCTCTGTAGGTGAGGTAAGTGAGTGAACACGTGGACATCCACTGTGGGAGCTCAGTCACTAGGAATGGCCGACCTCTGGCTCCAGGCTGGAACCTCTGCTTACTCTCTTAGAGAGCCTCAGAGGAAAGAGTTGAGAAAAATCTCAGAGATCTGACTCTGGGCTCCAAAGGGAACCTTGGCCTCCTGGTGCAGAGCAGGGGCGTAAGGGGCATGTTGCTCAGCTCCTGCAGAACCCTGGCCAGCTGGAGCCAGCGTGCATGCCTAGTACCAAGGGCCAGAACTGACCTTGGTGTATTGTAAACAGTTATTGGTGTGCGTACACACACACACACACACACACACACACACTTTGCCCTGGGTGGGATGTAGGTGAGAGGGCAGGTCTTTGGTGGGTGGCAGGACACCCAGTTCTCAAGTTGCCACCAGGTGATACGGTTCATCTCTCAGGGTTTTAGTTTTATCCCCCATAAAAGAAGGACTGGGTGATTTCTTCGCAGGTCTAAAGTCTGAAGCTCTGTGCTCCCAGGTTGGGAGCATTTCCAAGAAGTGTCTGCTGGAGTCCACCTTCCCCTGAGGAGGGTTGTCCCAGCCCCAGGAGCTTGCAGAGCAATGGTGCAGTCAGGACTAATTTGCCTGCAAGTGACGTGTGTGCCTGCTATTAATACTGCTCTTCATCACGGTGCTCCTGGCTCTGAGGCGCCATCACCTGGGGAGCCAAGGCCAGGGTACAAAGTACAGGCTCTGGAGTCTGAATCTGAGGACCACCTCCACCTCTTCCTGCCTGGGTGAAGCCACCCACCCAGCCTTCATTTTCTCCTCTGTACAGCAGGGACAATAACATCCTTCTCTTAGGCCGTTGAGGGGATTTAAAGAGAATTTGTGCGGCAGGATTAAAAAGTAAGGTTATGAAATCACTGAATAGATTAT